CCTCGTATAACTATCGATGAGGTGTAAGTTCCACTCGAGCAGACTTTCCCCACAAGGATCTGCTTTTTGAAAACGACTCCCAAGAGGTTGCTTCCCCGATCACAACAATCTGTTTATGTCCCGGATCAACAGTTATCTTCACCACATAAACTATGCCTCCTGCCCTGTAAACCTAACTCGTGTGGGTCTCAGGCCTTGTATAAGGTGAACATCATTGTAAATAATAATAATAATAATAAAAACTTGTTCAGTACAACTCTACATGAGTAGCTCTTGGAACTTTTCTGGGTGAGAATAGTAATAAAAAAAGAAAAGCTTACTGATGATTACACGAAGGTTGATTATACTGAGCTTAGCCAAGTTTGGCACAAGACCAAACGTATGAGGCAAATGTAAAGCTGACATAATACGCAGGAATAATAAACAACCAGAGTAAATAAATTAACACATAGCCGGATCCAAGGAAGTTTATAGTTGGCCTATTGTGCATTTAAAACTCCGTTAACAATAAACAAAGATGAAAGTTCAAACATTTGTAATGATTAGAACTTACAGTTTTTCTCGAAAGCTGTTCTCGATGAGTTTATATCCTTTTCAAAGTCTTCAAATATCCCTTTTAATCCTTGCCAAACAAATATATATATATATATATATATATATATATTTCTGAGGTGAGGCATTATGTACACTATTTACATTATTCGGAGTATTGTCCACATCTTTGTCGCCATATTTATCACAACGTTTCGGCCTCTCAGTATCTGTCTATATTTCTGAGATGTGGTATTATGTACACTATTTACATTATTCGAACTATTGTCCTCACCATTGTTGTCATATTTATTACAACGTTTCGGCCTTTCAGTATCTGTCTATATTTCTGAGATGTGGTATTATGTACACTATTTACATTATTCGAACTATTGTCCTCATTTTTGTTGCCATATTTATTACAACGTTTCGGCCTTTCAGTATCTGTCTATATTTCTGAGATGAGGTATTATGTACACTATTTACATTATTCGGACTATTGTCCTCATTTTTGTTGCCATATTTATTACAACGTTTCGGCCTTTCAGTATCTGTCTATATTTCTGAGATGAGGTATTATGTACACTATTTACATTTTTCGGACTATTGTCCTCATTTTTGTCGCCATATTTATTACAACGTTTCGTTGTACGCTCCGGACTACTGCAATTGGTTAGATTGAGGGAGAATCACAGAGGTTAAGAATGTGCACACAACTCTAGCCAGCCTCTCTCTCAGGCCAAGAGTTGGACCGTTTTTATAACATTTGGACAAAACACGAAACTTCACGTGTCTACGCCTTCTTCCGGTATGTCACCAATGCAACTTCGTGGCCAGTTCTTTTTCTGGCATGCGTCTACGCAAGCACGCATCTCCTTCCTCTCAGATCACCTTTGTGCCCTGTTTATTCCAGGCTCCGGATACCTGTGCTTCCTGTTTATTTTAGCCATTTCCTGTTTATGCTATCACTCACTCCGATTTACGCTCACTTTCTGATGCAACGGAAGTGACGTCAAAGGTCTTCCTCAGCCGATATCCATCACATCAAGTGGCTCTTGCGCCTTGTACAGGTTGAACATTGTAGCAAGGAAAAATGGCCATAGAATTTAAAACTCTGCTAATCATAGACAAAGATGAAAGTTAAACTAGTCAAACATTTGTAACGAATTGAACTTTCAGCTTTTCTCGAAAGCTGTTCTTGATTAGTTTATATCCTTTTCAAAATCTGCAAATATCCCTCTTAATCCTGACCAAGCAAACATTTACGGTCTCCTTGTAATCCCCCACTCGACAGACTTCTTGAATCGCGGATCAAACTCGTTCCGCCGCTTAATCTCGAACATATTTTGATGTAGTTAGAACCAAGAATTATGGTCTGAGATTTCAAACGCTTTTAATCCATTCGTCTTCTGACATTTAATCTGTCTCGCTGTAATCCACCGCTAATTAACTTTACCAACCAATTCCATTTGATATTATGGAAGCTGAAATTGAGATTAATTAACCCCATAATCTAATAGTTTCGGAAAAAGTAAAAAAAAAAAAATTGAATTAAATCACAATAATGTAGGATATAACTGCTCTTTGAAATACAGAGATGACTTATTATCATTATTCTAATTAAAACACGATAAAAATGACGGACTTATGGGCAATGTAGAGCTTCAGATTTTACACATATACAATTAGATAAATCGATGAAGGTATTATATATATATATATATATATATATATATATATATATATAAATTAATTGATTTAAAATATGGTTTTTTCGCTACACAGTAATAACCATGTTTCAAAAATGGAAGCTAAAAATTTTAAATTTAATTTTGTAATTAAATTAAAAACATTAGTTCCATTTCACCCTCAAGCGAATTTTGGAGTAACTTATTTTTTTAAATTTACTGAGTTTTAACTACAAGGGAAATTCATAATTTATTGTTACCAAGGATACAGAGAAATCCATTCATCCAGACAAGGTGTGGTAGCGTGTACATT